ATCGATCTGCACATCACTAATGTCTAGTAGATATGCAAATCCTATATTGTCATTGAAGTGGACATGACATACTGTCCATTTACAATGTAAAGACTGGAATTATGTATGAAACAGTGCTAAACTAAAGTTGAAGTTTACAAATTCTTATGTCTTATAATAGTCACCTTATGCTCTTGTATTTCCCCTTTAAAAAGTGTTTAAATATATACTGTTATTTCAGCTGCAGTTTTCTGTGGTAATCATTTTTGGATTATGCCTGAAAATTTGAGTGTGTAGTGTGAGTCAGCTATCAGTCTCCCATAAACTGTGTTATTTAACATGATGTTTTCCTCTGTGCAAAACTGCAAAAAAAGTTGTAATCAGTACCAAGTTTCCTTTTTTTTCTTTTCTTTGAGGATCAAAAGTTTGACTTTAGAAATAGGTCTTAATGCATATGTTTATTAATAAACGCTATTAGAAATGTGAGACACTGTATTTAATATGTGAAACAGTGGGATAAAGGGGAATTATTTTTCTCCATGTGTATGTTAGAAAAACTATTTCCCTGAGATGTACTTACTTTTTCGTTGTTTAATTTCATTTCATTTGTTTTTTCTTGTGAATAATGATACAGCAGTTTAGTTTTCATGTAGCTTATCTTTGTATCAAAATGTTCCCTTTTCGTGGTTGTTCTCAGAAAAAAAATATTATGAAATGCAAAGTTATTATTCAGTTTTTTCCCCCCTAAAGTTTACAAAAACACTGTCTGACAGTGATCCCTCCTACAAGAACATCTGGAATACTTTCTACCATGAACTTCAGGTTAAATTAATTATTGATTTTGGAAAGGTAAAAGCATTGAATATGGTATTTTAAATAAGATTAAATGTATAAATGACCTAACAGTAATAAAACTGAATAGTTATGTGGTGATTAGTCGTGATTTGTGTGTCTTAGCATGTGGTTTATAGTTATAACAAAGTGTCACTGTGTGTTTCCAGTTAAAAAACACCCAGTTAAAAACACAAAACAAACACAAAAAAAAAAAGTTGAAGCAGGTACATGTTCAGCAGCACTTTCAGATTAGCATCTACATGAATGTAATACCTTTAACGATGTGTTATATTATATCATAAATATAATCATTTATTATTTAATGTTTTTTAATATAAAATGATGTGTTATTTATTGCAGTAACATTGCTTTTTCATGAAATACACTTTGCTTCTTAGGAAGAACTCAAATAAAAGGTGAAGTCACTTTAATGAGGAAAATGATGCATGTAAAAATGTTTGGTTGGGTTCTGAGAAAATTTACAAAGCATTTTCTTACTGAAAAACACAAGAACTAAACTTCCTCTTTAGCCCAATTTATATGTGAGGAAGGCAATCCAGGTCCTCACTGGCCGTCTTGTTTCTTCTGCTGTATGAACCTGTTACAAGACCATTTTGCTGGTTTTCACAGATCAGTTGTGGTAAGAACTTTTCCATTTATGCCTATTTTATTAATGTTTTAATTTGTAATTTGGGTGACTTTAAAGGATTCTCAGTGAATATTTTTAAGCTTCATTCTGTGTTCTGTTGTCTTGTTCTGGTGTTTCCAAGTTTCCAAGATTCCTGATTCAGCTTTCCTGTTTTACTTTGAAGGTTAGCTTTCTTTCGTCTTGTGAATGTAAATGTATTTATCATCTCTGAGAACAGCTGGCACATGTATGTTTCAGTATGTTATCCACAGTCCTACTCTTATCTCTTGTCAGCAAAAAAACAAAACAAAACAAACCAAAACAAACCTAAAAAAAACCCCATAACACTGTAACCCTCTTTCTTAACTTTCTCTTAAGCTTAACTAAATTTGTAACAAATGCCACACAGGTTAGATGTTTACCTCATTCCAAAAAGGATTAAACATGAAATGCAGAATAAAAGTTCAGTAGAATCACATTTTATAAAGATTTATTTGGTTGATTGTGGCTGACTGAAACGGAATTTGACTTCATCTCAGGTCACTTGGGCTGAAGTTGTGTGGCTGTTACACAACAGACACTCTACACATAAAAAGAATTCATGATGATGGTTATCAAACCTGAAGCATAGTTTTGATCTTTTGCTGCTGGTTCAGTGAATTTTGGTCAGAGTGACGTAACCTGCAGCGTCAGATGTCGGCATTTAACACTGACGGCCTGTCCGTGTACGTGCCGTGGGGTGAATGATCCACGCTTTTTGTTTACATCTTTGTGCAGAATCTGTTTACCTGCTCTCATTTGCTGTTTCTGATGGGTGCCCAAAGTGCCCTTTTGTTGATGCAATCTTTTTTGTTTTTTATTAATTTTTTTTTAAAGTGTGTGTGCGTGCGGAGTCCAGTCTGTCTCCCTCAACAATAATATTTAATTATTCATCAAATCTTTACTAAATAAAAGGATCTGACTTGCATCAGTCACATGATGACCATTAACCAACGATTGCCCTTGACAGAAAAGCACGCTAGTTACGAGGAGCCGGGAACGAGCTCACAAGGAGCACGCGCATTTTTTCTGCCTGGGTGGTCTGGAGCCATAGGAGAAACACAAATTAACTCAGAGACACAGACTGATGTGACAAAACCAGTAAGCAGGTGTACAGCGTGCACTGCAGTGTATAGCGCACAGGAGTATTAGCTTATTACGTACACGTTGGTAACTCTTGTGGCAACTGACGAACTGAAACAAATGAACGTGCTGTGTGTGCAACAGCGCAACAAACATTACCTGTCCTTTTATTAACTGCACAAGTAGTGCTGGTCATAGCTGCTGGATAACTTTGTAAAGCTGTCATGGGTCTGTAGCTCTGTCCACCGTTTTAGTGAAAATATTTAGTTTTAAAGTAAGTTACAGGGCTTTTCCTGCCTTTCTGGGGGGATTACATTTCACTAAAACGATGTAATATGCATGTCCACATAATTATGGATTATTAAAATTGTGATATTTAAAACACACATCTGTATTTTAAAGAACATAAATTAAGAAATAGATTATAATAGATTTATATTTTAAATATGACAAAATGCTTATTTTACAGCAGCAAAATTATTGTATCTCTACAGTTTAAACATTTAATAAACTTTCTGCCTGTACAAAGTGGATAGTCAAACATACATTATTTTATATTTATTATTTATATTTGTATTCTTTTTACTTTATTATTTTAGCACTAGAAATAAATAATAAGGGAAGGTTTCTGGATCAGAACCATGATGCAAACTTGTGCCCATAGTATAGACAGTATTCTGAAGGTCTAAAATGTCACTGTATGTATTTGCTTGTGTGTGTTTTATGTGTATAGATTTTTATAATTATTACTCATTGTGTAATATTGTCCAGACATGCCTGGTAATGACATGAGGAGGAAACAGTGACAGTAGGTTTTAAAATATGTAAGAATGCAGCTTCATATGCAGGTTTCGACAACCAGATTTTCTATGTTTAGACACCTTATGATTCACAGTTCAAGCTAATCCTTTATCCTTATCTTATGCCGAGCCTTTGTTCATGTGAAATAAACTACTTTATTTCCTTTCCCGTTAATCCAACCAGCTTCTCACTACATGTCCTTTGCAAACAGAAGGTTTGAACCGCTATACGACTTTTTGACATCACACAGGTTCAAGAGTAGAAACAAATAGTTACCCTATTTTTTTAGGGTAAAGTAAGCATTTATGGTAGTCGTTATATTTAGTTTTGGGCTCACAGTGATTATTTGTGCATATATTTACCTCATTATTTTAAACTTTATCTGAGACAGAAAACAAGGTAAATTTTACTGTGCCTCTTTAAATGTAATAATTTATAAAAGGGTTTGGTTTTCTCCTTTGACCAGATGAATCAGGGTGAAGTGATGCCATTACTGAAGCAGCTCCTGCTCCTCGCTGCTCTCCTCCTCCTGTCCGTTGTTCCCACTGAAACTGAAGTGGTGACATCAGTGGAAGACTGTAATAAGTTTTTTCTGAAGTCTGAAACTCCACCAAACATCATGAAAATTTTGGAGGGAGGGAAGATCCTGGACCAAAACAGATACAAATGGATTTGTCAGAGTTATAAGGACTTCAAAACATTTGTGACGCTCTACGACACCCAGAACAAGATTCCAGTTTTTTCTGCTGCAAAGTTCAATGGGAGCACACCTCGAAGACCCAACATCCCATGGATGATTGAACCACAGGTATCAGTATTTAGTGTAATATATATCCGTTATGTGTAATAACTGTTATGTGTTACTTCATAATAACTGCTATGATGCAGCTTTTAAACAGAAATAAAACATTATGACACTGCAGGCCTACGTACATGATACACTAATCACTGTACAGGCTGACTCCAAAACTCTAGTGTTGCTGATACCATTTCTGCTAATTCAATGATTCTGCTTATGATTTGAGGGCTCTACAGATGATTTCCATTACAAAGTGATAATCGGCATTGTTCAGTATATTTTCCTAAAGACATCACTGAGTTCAGCTTCATTGAGTTTAGCTAAAATTAATTTAAATTATGTCAGTTTAAGTTTGCTCTGTAGATGAAGAAAAAACGCCATTTCAGCTGAATAAATTTTCCTGAGGTGATAACTTAACTTTTAATCTGTTCATCTATTTAGCAACAATCATGCATCCTTTAATAATCTACCCCTTTGATTTTGACAGCTTGAAAACATAACTGACAATTCAAATATGAGAAGATCAAACGACACTATCAACTACAACTACCAGGCTGGGAACAAAGACTATAAAACCAACCAAGGGTTTGACAGAGGACACTTGTTTCCAAGCTCTTACGGATTTACTGATTTAGAAAAAAAATCTACTTTTACTCTGACTAACATTGTTCCACAAAAAGCTAGATTCAACCAGGTAAGCTGGAACAGAATGGAGGAATGCATCAAATGTGTTTTGAATGAATATTGCTTTAACAACAATGGCAATATAGAAGGCTTTGTAGTTATCGGAGCACAGCCCAGCAACAACGGTCCCAACAACAGTCTCAACAACAGGATCAATATTCCTTCAGTGCTCTGGTCGGCCTTCTGCTGCTACAGTCACAGTCAGAACAAATGGCTGGCAAGTGCACACTGGGGCAACAACACAGATCATGGCCCTGAACATCTGGATACAAAGACCTTGGGAGAACTCCACGCAGAGCTGGGAATTGAAGTATTTCCTGAAACACAATGTCCTAAAAGTACAACAGTTACTCATCTGTATTCAAACCTTCCCCCTAACTGCTCCTGCCCACCAAAAACGTCAAGTAATTCTACCCCTACTACATCCACAGCTACCACTTTGGTTTCTGCGTCTTCTTCTTCCACATATAATTCATCTTTCTCTTCCCCTGAAGCAACTGTCCCACTTTCCACCACATCTGGCAAATCAACAACTGCCCCTATGAGTGCTACAATTGCATCAGTCAAAAAGTTTAAAGTAAATGAGAATTATGTTGTAATGATGGCTTCTAGAAAGAAAACATTTTCTTGGACCTAAAAAGAAGAAAATCCCAATTTAAAATTCAGATTTTTTTTCAGTTAACTTGCTTGGAAGCATCATAAGAAAAAATAAATTGTTAAATCAAAAAGTAATTTGGAAAAGCTGAAAATCATAAAAACGTTAACGGAAATAACCTGGTGTTACATCCTGTGAGACTGTGGGAGTGTGTGTGTGGGGTGTTTGCCCACTCTCTCCGCCTCCTCCTCTCTTGCCACTCCTACCCCCTCTGTCTCTCTCACTCTCCTCTCTCCCCAGGACACAGCTGCGTTTGATTAGCCTCGTTTGCCACCTGAATCCAGTCAGCAATCACCTCTGAGGCTATTTAAGCTGGGGATGAGCTGTGAGCAGTGTGGTTTTTCCCTCTGTGGTGCCACATGGGTTTCTGCTAGGTGCAGCCTCCTGTGACTAGTGACTAGTGAGAGAGACTGACTCTCCCCCCGTGGTGAGGAGTGGAGGAATTTTGTGTTTAGTAGTTTTGTTTTGTTTTGTTGCTGCGAGTGTTTCCTTTGTTTTTTTGGCATTATTGGTAAAACGGCGTTGCCGGCTCTTTAAGTTAGCGTCATTTGTAATAAAACTATATTATTATAGAACAACTCTATGTGCTTTCCTTTTCATTCTGTTTCCGGACCCATTTGTTACTGGTCCCCTCACTCGCACGCCTAGACCCCTTCGGGGGTGGGGGAGGGGGGGGGTCGGGGGGTACGTAACACCTGGAAATGAATCATTAACTTTAATAAAGACAAAAGTAAAAATAATGTAAAATAATCATGGTTATTTTCTTAATCTCGTTTTACTTAGTAGGTGTTTTTATTTTTTTATTCATAATAACGTTGTTATCATGTGCTGCAGCTGCCTTTAGTTTAGTTACTGTTGATGCGTCCCTGCTTGGTATTTCTCAGATGATGAATACTAATAACCCACTTCACTGTGTGCCTGTAGACAGACTCCATGTTAAACTACTAACCATCATCTTCACTACTGCTGTCGTGTTTTCATCATTTCTGTTGAAAAACTGGGGCTGCTTACTTTTGTAATCCTTTTTATTCACACCACCGCCGTGCATGTGTTTCTACTGCAGGTCTGTTTTTAGGTGCAAATGTGGGTGAAATGCTTGAGCTTCCACAGTGACTCTACAGAGTTGTTCATTAAATGAAACATTGAAGTAAAAAAAATGGCTTCAAGGATTTTTAACAATATTTGCGTAACTCAGAGAATCTTTGCAGTCCTGATTATTTCTAATTTCTAATTTTGTTTCTTGTCTGTTTGACATCATCATACAAAGAAACACAAAAACAACACGAAACAACAAGATGACAGGAAGAGAAACAGAATGAAGTCCTTGCATTTAACAGTTATGTTTCTGAGAACAACCATGAAAAGCAGAACATTCAGACTAAAATAAATTAGCTTACTGTCAAAAGAGACTGTTGTATCACTATCGTCAAACAAACCACATTAGTGTGACAGTACATCTCAAAGTGTTAACATGAAGAAGAAGGATGCCCTCCAAGTTAGTTTTCTCAAGTTTCTCAGAGCCTTTGTATGGTGAAGGAGATTGTGACATGCTGACTTTCTTCTCAGTTTCTCTGCAGGAAGGACGTAAACTAAAGGTTATTATGTTTCTCTTCCATTGCTAACTTTGTTTCTTTAAAAAAAAAAACAACACACACACTACTTTCTGCAGTACAATACTGTTTAAAAAATGCTCACAAGGTTACAGTACCACAGTGTGTTGCAACACTACTTTTACAATTCCCCTCGCTGAAGACAGAGGGGGTTGTAGTATTTAAGAAAAGTGTGGGACACCTAGGAATTGGTGGCACCAACTTTTAAGGCTTGATCAACATCCATTTCTGCAGAACAGCCTTAAGTTGTTAACCCACTTCCTGCTACTTGAAAAAGGCCTTTTTGTGTAATTCTGCAATCTTTAAAATTAAATTGTAATTTTAAAAAGTGACAGAAATGGGATGTTTTAAAACACACACACACACATTTGGAGTCAACAAAATTAAGCGAAATTTCTTTAGTTAGCACAACAGTCACAAGAAGCTGTACAATATAAAGCTTCCATTAGTTCGATTAAAGCAGCACAAAGATTTGGTTATATTTGATTAGAATATTCACCATGTAGCAGTATATACATGAAAGTTTTTTTTTTTTCCCATTACCTGATGACACAGGGCTCGCTGATGATGTATCACCTCCTGCCTCTCGCTGCTCTCCTCCTTCTGTCCATTGTTCCCACTGACACTAAAGTGGTGACATCAGTGGCACATTGCAATCTCCGCCAAACATCCCAGAAATTTTAGTGGGAAGGAACATCCAGGATCAGAACAGATACAAAGTAATTTGTGGGATCTTAAGAAACATCAGCAGGTTTGAGACGCTGTACGACACCCAAAACATTTTTTTCTGCTGCAGAGTACAGAGGTGGAAGCGAGGGACGCAAACCTCTGTGGAAGATTGAACCACAGGTATCATTATTAGTAACTGTCATCAGTTTTAATACATCTTTTTGAGCTGTAATTAAATATGTTGCTGCTGCTGTGCTACATGACAGAAAATTAATCTATTAATGTTTAATCTCAGTATACATTCACATTCACACATAACATTCACAGCCAGTGCTAATTACAGAACTTTATGTATAAAAATGTAACTATCAGCCCACAGAGCTACTGTACTGTGCTACTGGAACAGCAGCACCCACTACTACAATAACGTTTACTTATTATTCAGTGACCCTGTTTATGAGTCACGAGGTAAGCTTACTTTCCTAGGAAAGCTTGTTGATGATTAATTGAGAAAACCTACAGACAAAACTTAGGGTTGAATAAACAACACAACATTATTATTAATTTAAAATGTTTGGCAAAGTTAAACTAGAAAAACAACACGTTTTGTTATATCATTATATTATTTATCATTAAAGGAAACTAAGCACGCTTAGTTAAAGGTCTATTTTTGTTGAAGTATATTTCAATAATTCATCCATCCATTTTATTTGACTTATTTTTGGTTGGGGGCGGAGCTGCAGCCTATCCCAGCTGTCTTGGGGCTGGATATGTCGCCAGCCTGTCACACAGCTAACAACCAGTCACACTCAGGTAATATAGGCTACAATTATGGTCTGGTTGACCAAACCCCGGTAACTGCATGTCTTTAGATTGTACGAGGAAGTCAGAGTACACAGAGCATAGAAACTCACAGAAGCATGGAAAGATCATGCCCCGATGGTGGACTTGAACTCAGAACCTTCTTTATTTCAGTGCAATGATGATGCACAAGCTGCAGATATGATCTTTTAAAATAATGTTTCTGGTCAGGAGTTCACCTATAGTATTTGCTAAGTTTTAGTTCCTGTTTTGTCATTGTCGTGTTGTTATGATCCCCCAGTCCTCCTGTGCGTAACTGCTATTTTCTCTCTCTCTTCCCGAGTGTGTGTGTGTGTGTTCCAGCCACACCTTACTCTGCCTCGTTCTGTGCTCACCTGAAGCAATCAAGTCCACCTGTTTGTCATCTGGCTCCTTCTTATACAGAGATCTTACTTTCATTCTTCCCCTAAGCATTGAACCAGCTGCAATAGATATCACTCCTCCGATCGGTCAGTCTGCCTTTTATTTCCCTGATGACTTCTTACCTGCCTCATCCTCTGTGCTGAAGTCTGGCGTGTTTCTCTGGGAGAGTAGAGTGAGCTGTGGAGAGGAGCCTGTCCCCGTGTGATTCCAGAGTTATTCACCTGCATCTCGTTTACTACACGTTTATTCCTGATAATATCTTAATAATTGCTATTTTAACAAAGTTCTCTTTACTTCATGTTGAAGCTCGTTAAGTAGGTTGTTTGACGAAGGACATCGTTAGCCTTTTCTGAGTAAAGGGTTTGATGCTGATTACAGGAACAAGCGCTGCTGTTTTGGAAGATACTGTCTCTGTAACACAGAGGTCACCAATCCCAGTCCAGGAGGGCCGGTGTCCCTGCAGGTTTTAGATGTGTGCTTTATCCATCACAGCTGATTTAAATGGATAAATTGCCTTCTCAAGATGTCAAGTTCTCCAGAGGCCTGGTAATGAACTAATCATTTGCTTCAGGTGTGCTGACCCAGGGTGAGATCTAAAACCTGCAGGGACACTGGCCCTCATGGACTGGGATTGGGGACCCCTGCTGTAACAGCTCCACCTCTTGGCTATTCACGTTTTCCTGTAGACATACTCAGTGTTAAACTATGACACCATCATCTTCAGCGCTGCTCCTCTAATTTCTGATTTTGTTTCTTACCTGTTTCAGATCAACATACAAAGAGACTGGTAACTCAAAAACAACATGAAACAACAAGATGACGGGAACAGAAACTGAATGAAGGCCTTGCATTTCACAGTAAAAGTCTTTCTGAGAACAACCAAGAAAAGCAGAACATGCAGACTAAAATAAAGTAGCTAACTGTGAAAACAAAACTGCTGTATCATCACAGTCAAACAAAACACATTAGTATGACAATACATCTCAAATTGTTAACATAAAGAAGAAGGACAAATAATTGTAAAATCCTGAAGTCTTTTCTCCAAAAAGCATCTTGCACACACACACACAGCATTGTCTTTCTGGAACTCCAAGTCTTCCCTTTACAGTGGAAACAGACTTGCTTACTATGAACACTATTAAGTTAGAGTTTCCTCAATTTTCTCAGAGCCTTTTTGTGGTGAAGGAGATTGTACTCACTGACACGCTGAATTTCTTCTCAGTTTGTCTGTAGGAAGGATCTGCACTCTTATGGGTAATGATGTCTCTCTTCCATTGTTCATTTTCTTTTTTCTTTTTAAAAACACACTACTTTCTGCAGCACAGTACTGTTTAACCTCTTAACCCCCTGATACGGGGGCAAAAGGCAGGAGATCGGGTAGGCTTGGGGCTAAAGAGGTTAAATAATACTCACAAGGTTGCGGTACCACAGTGTGTTCCAACAATCCCCCTCTCTGCAGACAGACAGGTTTGCTGTAATCAAGAAAGTTTGGGACAACTATAGCAATTGGTGACCCAAACTTTTAAGTGTTGATCAACATCCATTTCTGAAGAACAGCTTTAAATTGTTAACCCACTTTCTGTTCCCTGAAAAAGGCTTTTTTGTGTAATCTTGAAATTTAGGTTATATTTCAGTTTTGGGTAACCTTACCTTTTTTTCTTAACCTTTCAAATTTCAGCACTTACTAATATACACCCTTTGACAAACTGCTGAGTAAATACTGACTTTGTCTTGTGCCTAGTTTATATTTAGGGAGGA